AATATAACAGTTGAGCGACCGTGCTAGAACCACGGAACTCGGGAATGCCTAACACCTTCTCCCGGGTTAACAGAATTCCTTATCCGGATTTCTGGTACGCAGACTGTAATATAGAGTCATTCTTTTCCTCGATTCGGGATTAAAATTGGTGACTTGGGACACCCTAAATCTCCCAAGTGGCGACTCTGAAATAAACAAATAAATCCCCTTTCGATTGTCATTTAATTGGAAAAAACTCCTTTGTACCCCCTCGGGTGCGGAAAAAGGAGGTGTGACATTATCTTGAATTGTTCGCATATCTCTCCCATCAAATGACTATTCAAGTTTGCAGCATTGTCTGTGATAATAGTTGTAGGAATGCCAAAATGGCAGACAAGATTGGAGTGCACGAAATCTACCACAGCTTTCTTGGTGACGGATTTGAGAGTGATAGCTTCAACCCACTTCATGAAGTAGTCAATGGCAACTAGTATGAATCGGTTCCCATTTGAGGCTTTCGGCTCGATCGGCCCGATGACGTCCTTACCCCAAGCAACAAATGGCCAAGGTGCTGACATGGGATGCAGTTCTGTGGGAGGTGCGTGAATCTAATCACCGTGCACCTAACACTGATGATACTTCCGAACAAAACTAAAGCAGTCCTTTTCCATGGTTATCCAGTAATAGCCTGCTCGAAGGATTTTCTTTGCTAAAACATACCCGTTCATGTGGGGTCCGCATACTCCCGCGTGTACCTCATGCATGATTCTTCCAACCTCCTCTGCGTCAACACATCTCAACAAGTTGAGGTCCGAAGTTCTTTTGTACAAGATGTTACCACTCAAAAAGAAACCACTCGCGTGCCGCCTAATGGTTCTCTTCTGGTCTCCACTGGCTTGCTTAGGGTATTCTTGTGTTTTCAAAAACCTTTTGATGTCATGATACCATGGCTGGGTATTTGGCACTATTTCAACCGTATTACAATAACCATGCCTTTCCCGAATTTGGATTTCCAAGGGATCAATGCGGGCATTGCCTGGTTATGGCAACATTGAGGCTAAGGTGGCAAGCGCATCAGCTAATTCATTGTGGCAACGAGGAATGTACCTTAACTCTATTGACTTGAATCGTTTTCCAAGTTCTTCCACATGTTGCCTATAAGGAATAAGCTTGACGCCTCGAGTTTCCTATTCTCCTTGAGCTTGTCGGATAATCAAATCTGAGTCACCCATGATTACCAGTTCTTAGACATCTTGGTCGATCGCCATGTTCATACCCATAATGCAAGCTTCGTACTCGGCAGTGTTGTTTGTGCAGAAAAACCAGAGCCTAGCTGTGGCCGGATAATGCTAGCCGGTGGGCGAGATCAAGATTGCCCCAATTCCAACACCTTTTGCGTTTACCGCTCCGTCGAAAAACATTTTCCAAGCATTGATGTCTTCGGATATTCCCTCAACCGAGTTTACCTCTTCATCTGGGAAGTAAGTATTCAAAGGCTGGTATTCATCATCGATCGGATTTTCAGCCAAATGGTCTGCTAACGCCTGGGCTTTCATTGCCATGCGAGTGACATATACTATGTCGAATTCCGTAAGCAGGATCTGCCACTTTGCTAGCATCCCAGTGGGCATCGGCTTCTGTAATATGTATTTTAAAGGATCCAACCTGGTTATGAGGTAAGTGGTGTAGGCTTGCAAGTAATGCCTCAGCTTCTGAGCGACCCAAGTCAAAGCGCAGCAGGTCATTTCCAACAAAGTGTACTTGCCTTCATAACTGGTGAACTTCTTGCTCAGATAGTAAATAGCCCGCTCTTTCTTTCCGGTCACATCGTGTTGCCCGAGGACACAGCCGAAAGAATTTTCCAAGACTGTCAGGTACAAGAACAAAGGCCTCCCTGTCTCAGGTGGGACCAAGACCGGCGGATTCGACATATATTCCTTGATTTTATCAAAAGCTCTTTGACATTCATCTGTCCACTTGACAGCTGCGTCTTTCTTTAGTAGTTTGAATATGGGTTCACATGTGGATGTCATCTGGGCAATGAATCGGCTGATGTAGTTCAATCTACCCAACAGACTCATAACATCCTTCTTGGTTTTTGGAGGAGGCAAATCTCGAATAGACTTTATCTTTGTTGGGTCTAACTCGATGCCCCTCCGACTGACGATGAATCCCAAGAGTTTGCCGGATGGTACCCCAAATGCACATTTGGCTGGGTTCAGTTTCAAATCATATTTGCACAGCCGCTCAAAAAACTTTCTCAAGTCCCGAACGTGGTCGTCCTGGGTTTTGGATTTGATGATTACATCGTCCACATACACCTTTATCTCTTGGTGCATCATATCGTGAAAAATGGCTGTCATGGCTCTCATATAGGTTGCCCCGGCGTTCTTGAGACCAAACAGTATGACTCTGTAACAGTATGTACCCCACGGTGTGGTAAAAGCTATCTTCTCTACATCTTCTTCATCCATCAACACCTGATGATATCCTGCGTAACAATCCACGAAGGACTATATTTCATGCTTGGCACAGTTATCAACAAGGATGTGGATGTTTGGCAAAGGAAAGTTATCTTTGGGACTTGCCTTGTTTAAATCTCTATAATCCACACACACCCGGGTCTTCCCGTCTTTTTTTGGCACTGGAACTACATTAGCTAACCAGGTGGTGTACCGGACCACTCGGATCACCCCCGCTTTCCACTGCTTCGTGACCTCTTCTTTGATCTTGTCACTAACATCAGTTTTGAACTTTCTTTGCTTTTGCTGGACTGGGGGACAGTCGGGGTATGTTGGCAACTTGTGAACAACCAAATCAACACTCAGCCCTGGCATGTCATCGTATGACCAATCAAACACATCTTTGAACTCAAAAAGGAGTTGGATTAATGCGTCTCGAGTTTTTTCACCTGTGAAAATGCTTATCTTGGTTTCTCTGACTTCTTCAGAACTACCCAAATTAACCGGTTCAGTATCATTTAAGTTCGGCTTAGGTTTATTCTTAAATTGTTCCAATTCTCGATTTATTTCCCTAAAAGCCTCCTCTTCATCGTATTCCGGCTCTTGGTTCATTATTTCACAATTAGACAGCATGTTTGGATCTGGGCATGAAGTCCGCAAGCATATCATGTTATTTAAAGCCGCATTATTAGAACTGAAAGAAGAAATAAAAAAAAGAAAAATAACAAAATCAGAAAGAATAAAGAAAGATAAACTATGAAATATTAACTTCATTTCGTGGATTTTGGAGATAACAGGGTTTACATTGGAAAATTAAAAAACAAGAAAATAAAGAAAACATCCGATTTACCCCATGAAATAACTCGTGATGTAGAAAAGGTGGCAGGACAGGTCTACCGGGACTCCCGCCTGATCGGGAATGGCGTAGCCTTCCAATTCTGCAGCTTGGCATTAGGTCCCATATACAGCACCTCAGCGGTGATCGAGCCTTCCCTTGGTTGAACTATGTGGGCTTCATACAGTATCTTCCTCATTGCCCCACATATCTCTTCAGTTTCTTCGGCTGTGAAAGCCTCATTTTCTTCCTCCTCATGGTATTTTGGCTTGACAAATGTTCTGTACAGATGCGGCACCGGCTGAGGCAAGACCCAATCATCATTCTTTCTATCATTTGCCTATTTTACATCATCTGGAGTGGGTCGGAAGCCTATCCTGAAGAACTTATCACTAGCTGTCAGGGTAACAGGTTCAGTTATTCCTTTCAATGATTTCCCGATCCCCTTCCCTAATTTGAAACCATGTCTGATCATTTCTTTGGCCACCATGATTGATGCATTAGAAAGAAAGGGTTGAGGGCAAGGGTTTCCTTCTTCGTACTGGTCCGCGACCACAATTTCAAAGGCTTGATAAACTATGTGCTCACTCCCCTCTTTTGCTTCAAGACATAGGACTGATGGGTCCCGATAAATTGATTGCTCGTCTTCCCCGTGGACCACAATCTCTTGATCTTCATGCTCAAATTTTACCATCTGATGGAGGGTAGAGGGTACAGCCCCTGCTGCATGAATCCATGGCCTCCCCAAAAGAAAATTGTAGGAGGTGTCCATATCCAACACCTGGAAGGTTACTTCAAAGTCTACTGGGCTGATGGTCAGAATCAGATCAATCTCTCCAATCGTGTCCCTTTTTATACCATCGAAATCCCGTACACAGACATTATTGGGTCGAATTCTTTCAGTCCTAATTTCCATGCGCTGTAGAGTCGAGAGTGGGCAGATGTCTACCCCAGAGCCTCCGTCCAACATAACCCTTTTCACATAGTACCCTTTGCATTTGACTATCAAGTGCAGAGCTTTGTTATGCGCGGCCCCTTCTGGAGGCAAGTCATTTTTGCTGAAGGAAATCTGGTTAGTTGAGAAAAACCTTTCTGCCATCCTCTCCAACTGTTCTATAGAAGTTTCAATAGGAACATATGCTTCGTTAAGGGTCTTGATCAATACCTTCTGATGTTTGGGGGAGTTCATCAGCAAAGCCAACAAGGAGACTTGTTCGGGAAATTTTTGAAGCTGGTCGATCACCTCATAATCTGCCATTTTCATCTTTTGAAAGAAAGTCTCTGCTTCTTCGGCACTTACGGGCTTCTTAGATGGGAAGCATTTTCGAGTGGCATTGTTCACCTCTTCCAAGTTAGAATACTTTTCAACGGGGTTATTTTCTTGGACTTCTCCTGAGATTTCTTTGCCCTTATAGGTCACCACCATTTTTTTGTAATTCCAGGGCACATCGGTAGGATTCGTTATGGGCTTTTGCGGTGTGCGGCCAATAACCACGGGCTCACTCAGCCTTGGAGGATTAATTGGCCCCCGCATCACACAAGCTCCCTTGGGCACATACATTTGGGTTGCTTTGTTTAGCTCGAATCTTCTAGGAGTACTCAAAGTCATCTGTTTTTCTTCGCGGCCCCGAGGGACATAGAGAACAACATCTTTGGAAGGTGTTGCCCCAATTCCCGCTTCAACTTTCTTTTCTGATTTTGGAGGGGTGATTTTGTTCTTTTCCTCCCCTTTGTCTTGCTTCGGGGCAACTTTTGGTTTCTTTTCTGGGTCAGCAATGGCAATGATGGCATTCAATGCTGGGTTAAATTCTTTATCCTTACAAATCATCCCGATTACCGGTTCGTTGTTGTGGGCTGGCAGTGGGTTATTAGTCACATTGGGGACATCCTCATCAATTAGCACTATCTTCCTTTGTTCTATAAAATTCTCCACTGCTCTCTTCAGAGTCCAGCAATCATCAGTGTCGTGCCCTTCTGCCCCTAAGTGATAGGTGCATCGGGCACCAACTTTGTAAGCGGGAGATGTTGGGTTTTGCCTAGTTTGAGGAACCGGTTGTAGCAGACCCATTTGGACAAGCTTTGGGAAAAGGCTGGAGTAGGACTCGCCGATTGGTGTAAAATTTGGCCTTTTAGGTAGTTCACGAGGGGGAAAATTGTTTTGCGGAGGACGGGGGTTGTAGTGGTTTTGGTAAGGAGGTTGATTTCTAGGAAATGGAGCTTGGTTATGGTGGGCTTGTTGCTGTGGGCGGACATAAGATTGAGCATTCATGACTGTGGGGGTAATAGTGTTGCGGGTAATAGTCTTGGTGGGGGTAATAGTGTTGCGGGGTCGTTTCTGGGAAAAGGGATCTGGGAGTACGGTATTTTCTTGCGCCCGACGCTGCCATGGACGTTTCTTCCTTCTTCTTGCCTTTCGCTATTCCTCCAGACCCACCCTGAATGCCTTGGGAAGTAGCTCTGATAGCGGATTGGCTTAGAATTCGACCCGTTTTCAACCCATTTTCAACCATTTCGCCAATCTTGATGGCTTCAGCAAACGGTTTACACATAGCAGACATCATATTTTGGAAGTAGTCGGCTTCCTGAGCTTATAAAAAAACTGTGACCATTTCGACCTCATACATCGGAGGTTTTACCCTAGATGCTTGCTCTCACCATTTAACCGCATACTCCCGGAAGCTTTCCGAGGACTTCTTTTTCAAGTTCGTCAATGAGTTCCTATCTCGAGCAATATCAATGTTGTACTGGAACCGCCTGACAAAATCTCTAGCAAGATCATCCTAGATATGCCAGCGGGATATATCCTGGTCCATGTACCACTCAGAAGCGATGCCAACCAGACTTTCTCCGAAATAGGCCATGAGTAGTTCTTCTTTTCCACCGGCCCCTCGTAATTGATTGCAATATTTATTAAGATGAGCAATAGGATCACCGTGCCCATCGTACTTCTCAAATTTCGGGGTTTTGAATCCTAATGGCAGATGCATATAAGGGAACATGCATAAGTCAGTATAGGATACACTTTTATGTCCACTCAAGCCTTGTATGCTTTTGAGACTCTGTTCCATACTTCTCATCTTCCTCGCAATCTCTTCTTGCTCAGGAGTTTTGGTAGTCTTTTCTTGCCCTATAGTGAACTCATATCGGGGTGGTTGAGAGTAAGTATAGGTGGGAAACTGTGTAGGTTCCAGTAGGAAAGATGGTGTTTGGAAGGTGAAGATTGATGGGTCAAAGTTGGGTCTGGGCAGCGTAGGCTGTGTAGTAGCTGAGCATGGAGGAGCAGTGAAAATATTTGGAGCCGCTCCTGAAGCTAACACCTGGGGGCGAACCTCAGAAGGTGTTCCAACAAAGTGGGCCGATATGGTAGGATGTCCGAGTGGGATATTGGGGTGACTAATCGGGATATTGGAGGTTCCACCTACCCTAGGGAAAAGCTCGGGAAATCCGGGGATTACACTTGGTGGCTCTCTTCCGTTTGACCAGGCATCCCACATTTCCATGCGGATACGCAGTAACCTGTTTTCCTCGGCAGCTGCCGACTCCAAAGTCGGGATGCCCGAGGTCAGACTCTCTTCCATGATAGGAACTGTTGGCAGAGTGATTTCTGAAGACATTTCAACACTACCTTTCGACCTCGTGAAATATGGATGCGAAGCCAGACTAACACAAAACCAACCACCTTACTATAGAACCTGTTACTTGGGATAACAGCAACAAACAGTTAGTTTGAAATAAATAACAGATAGGTAATCGCATGTTGGGGTGTGATGCATCTATACAGTTAAATGTGTTTCTACATGTTTTGCAACGGTCGCATGCTTCATCCCAGCTTTACTTATTCTTATTATTATTGTTTTTTTTCCTTCTTTCCAATTCCACTCTCTCTCTCTTTTCATCTCTTTCTTTGCCTCCTTTTTTCTTTTCCTTTGATTTTCCTTCTTTTCCTTCTTTTGGGTTTTTCTTTCGGATCTTTGCTCTTTTATTTAAATTGTTTACAAAAATCATGACCGGATCCGATAAGGATTGCCTACGTATCACGACGCCGCGTGAATCAGATCATAACGTAGTTCAAGAAGTAAATGAGAAAAAGAAAAGAACAATTTTTTGTGGGTTTTTTTCTTCTTCTTTTTTTCAAATTTTCATTAACACAACTTTACTGAATTACAAAAGACTCAAAACATACCTTTTCTAGGACTTTAAGACTCTGGACAACTTTTCTAGGAATTGAAAACAGACTCAAAATATGAAAAATACAGACTCGGAAAAAGGAAGAAAATACAATCAAGAAAACATCAGTGCCTCCAACCCTGCCCTAGGAACACCAACCGGTCTTGCAGCGGGCCTACTTGCCATGTCATCTTAGAGCCGATAGAGTTCTTCCATTATCTGACGGACGAAGATCATTACAGTGGTGAAAAACATGGATCTTGTCATGTCCTCACACGCACTGCATTTCATGGTGATGTAGTCAGCAATCCTTCGAACCCTTTCTCTTATGATGCCCTTCTCTTGCAAAAAACGGCCAATCTGACGAGATCTAGCCTCTAAGACTTGGGTGGCAGCGTGATTTGCTCTTGCAAGTGATGTAAGTCTTCTTCCCACCGTGCCATTAAGGCATAACAATGTTCTCTTTCGGCCTTAAAATTTTTGGCTTGTTTGGCCATTTCACCTTCGAGGTTGCCAATCGCCTTTTCCCAACCTGTGACCCCTCTTTCATATCTTTCTTTCATCTGTTGAACAAAAGCTGCACGCCCTTCGGCATTTTTAGCCAATCTCGTTCGTGCTTTTGCTAGTTCAGACTCAGCTTTCTGCAGGTCATCTTCATAGTCACACACCTTTTGAGTAAGGTAATAAATGAGCCTTTCATCTTTTCTGCTTCGGCCCGGATTCTCGGCTGCTATTTTCAGCTGTCAAACCTGGGCCCTGAGAGCTTCATTTTCTCGAACCAATCTTCTCCTCTCTCCCTCAGCCTCTTGTGCCTGTAAATCATTGTTGAAGGTGACATTTCTCAACTCTTCTCGCAGATCATGGATGGTGGCCTGATATTCCTTTTCCTTTTCTCCTCAAGCTAACCTTTCCTGAATTTTGTCATCAAAAGCTTGAACATGGGGACTTTTGGCAGGCCTCACGGGTTCGGGCTCGGGCTCCAGCTCATTGTACACATAAAAACTCCTTTCAAACCAAACCGCATAATTGGGATCAGCTTCGCCCTTAGCTAGGTCTGGTACTTGGGTGTTACTTTTTAGATACCGACAACAATTCCAGTCTCTTTGAACTAACACCTCGGGTATCGTTGCTTCTGGGTGTAGTTCAATAACTTGAGTGCTTAGGTCCGCCTCTTCGGGTATCACCTGATATCTTCCCAGTTGTCTCAAAACTCTTTGTAGTGCATATGGTTGTATACTTCTCGCTCCCATTATCATCAAGTAGCCCTTTGAAGAGGTCATGTAGATGATTTATGTTACTGGGAGCCATCCTATGGTCCATTCAATTTGATCTGCTCTTAATTTCCTCAAATAGGAAACCCATGCTTCAAACCCTTCCAGTGGTTTGTAATCTTCCACCCTTTCCTCATACTTTTTGATGAAATTGTTCCCGTCTGAAGCATATCTCATGAACTTAGGATGGCGGCGAAGGTGCTCGATCATCCACATCTGAAGAAGAATATCGCAGCCTTCGAAAAATTGACCCCCAGATTTGCACAATGTTAATGCCCGGTAAATGTCCGCCAGCACTAATGGGACAAGTGTTTGATCTTTTTTGTCGACGAGGACCTGTGCGATTCTGGCCATACGAAGGTCTATTGTACCCTCAGAATTCGGAAATACCATGATTCCTAGAAATGCCACGATGAAAGTAAACCGTCGATGAATTTGCCATATGCTCTTGTCCTATTTGTTATTCAACCCCTTCTCATGTGTTTCAAACCCGGCCGAGTGTCCAAACCTAAAATACAGGAAGTAGAACGAACAACTCCCTTTGCTTACATGTTCCTTGCTCATTTGTTTGCTAATTTTCAAAAGATCGAAGAATTTGTGTACTGAGGGAGCCCTGGGGAATATTAGTTGCTGCTTTCTTAACTTTTGGCCGAAATCGATGTACCCGGCTATTTCTTCCAGAGTGGGTGTGAGTTCGAAATCCGAGAAACGGAACACATTGTGAACGGGATCCCAAAAGGTCACCAAAGCCTTAATTAAATCCTCATGTGGTTTGACGTGCATGATGTCTACCAGGGAACCCAAATGCTCTTTTACCCAAAGTTGGTCATCTTCATCTAAATCACCCCACCACTTACGTAGCTGCATCCGAGCCCTTTCTATGATAGATTGCGATGATTCCTAGACGGTATTCATTTGTACCTGTGGAGGGTTAAGTTTAGGGTTGACTCTTGTGGACTCTTTTTGCAAAACAAGTTTTTAAAAAAATCAACGGACAAGGACCCCTTTTATTGCTATGTTAGCAAAATGGTCATTTTTGCAAACGTGGCACCCTTCACAATTCCAAATGAATTTTGAGGCCGGGGGTAGGTATTTTATTGGAAAAGACACCTTTGCCTGTTCCTCTCGAAAATAGCCTTTCGACAATTGGAATGCAATCTAAAGTTATTCCGGGGAGAAATGACTTAAGTACAACCGAAGCTGGGTCGGCATATTGTTTTGACCAAAGCCCTGAAACACCTTTTTATTTTATTATTTGGTAAAAATGAGGCCGAAACTTATGTGGGTTGCCTACGTATCCCACATCCGGTGAGAATCAGACTTGCGTAGTTTGGGCAGTTTTGATACAAAAACATGATATTTGACTCACTCTTTTGAAATGCATTTCTCTTTTTTTTCTTTTTTTTTTTTTTAAAATTCGGCAAAGTTTCGGGATATTTTCAAATACTGGGATTTTTATAAACCGGGTAAATTTTCTCTCCTACCTCACTCTTTTTTTTGATTTCCTTTCCTATCCGGTCAACATGCAAGCCGAAACAGATAAATATTCACATAGCACGTAGGATGCATCAGGATGGTCTTTATTTTGGGTGCACCTGTCCTAGACGGACCCAACCCCTGTGTTGAGTCCCCAAGATCAAATGCACGTGATGAAAATAATCGTTCCTACTAGGGATCCGGCATGAGGTTGCGTTATTCTAGGGTTAAAAATCTGGGGTTTGTGGTCTAGACTTGGGTTACCCGAGCGGACAACTGGGGTCGAGGAGGGGGCAACGTACTGGGAGCACGAGAGTCTTTCCGGTCTTGTTGCTTGCCCAACCCCGTCTTATTT